AAAAAAAAAAAAAAAAAAAAAAACCAACGGTACCTCAAATACCAATGGCCTATTTATGAAGATGATTTAACAATGATTTCCCTTTTATGTGTGATATTTGAAAGTACAATTTACAATTATCATATTATGTACGTTAGAGAAATACAACTCAGAGACGAGGACTAAAGAGGAAATTAAAGCTACTGTGAAAAGTGCCGGGTTCTCATGCAAATGTTCGGTCTACATTATATATCTAGCCGAGTTAAGGAGTCCTTGCCATTGCCTGAAGGATTGTATGTTATGTTTTACTGTGAAACCTCGACCACCTCTCTTAAGAAATGTCAAAAAGAGCAACATCTGCTACTTTATATATCGAAAATACACAAGCATTTTAGCTTATTCTCTCTTTTTATTGTGTAACGTAACAGGCTAAACCATGTCTTCCCATGAGGTTTTGATGGTTTCGGATAGGATGGATATATTTATGTCAGTAGCCAAAAAATGTAGACATTATGTTGCAAGACAGATGAGTGAAAGAATCTATATGAAATATGCTGCAAATATTTTATTTGTTATTGTAGGATTTTGAGGAGAAATGTCACTTAATTGTGTCAAACACCATAAAACATCTCACCTAGCACATTCCGTGCAAATATAAAGCCTCTTCGTCTTCATCATTTACATCACTGTCTAGGCCTCATTAGTTTCTTTTAGAAAAAAATTCAACCTGCATGCAAATTTGTTTTCTTTTCATGCTTTGTCCATTTTATAAATGTTTGAATAAATTGTAAATTAGCAGAGACATTGCAGAATTTTTTCACATCGGAACTCATTCACTTGGATGTAACTCAACTCCTTTTGGCAACGATTTCATCAGTGCATATACTTTTTTAATAAATGATGTATTTTGTTAGACACGTTTGTCAGTAGATTCAAGCTTGTTTTCACAAAAATATTTCAATGCACGCTTCACAACATCACCAGCCACATGCGTATCCTATTACATTTTGTCAAAGTCAACTCATGTTGGTATTTTACTTTCTAAAGGAAACGTTGGGCGCCTATGTTATCCAGTTGTTGATACCTGATATTTGATTCAATACTATAATATATTTCTTATATATTGGTCGGGGCTAAAATCAATTACAAAGGATTAATCTGTGGAAAGTGAAGTATAAGCAAAGGGGATTCAGGTCGCTGAAAACATTTTATTGATGCTTTATGCGTTTTCTAAACAACAATAAAATCTAACAACAAAGGTTTCTGATTTTTGATCAAAACATGGGTAATGGGCAGTGATTCACCGAATCCAGGCTACAACAACAGTTATTAATTGATCGCTACTGCAGGCGACAACAATGGCCCCCTAGCAACACGTGACGCTACTAGTTCCCCTCTTTCAGCATGTGCATTTGCCGTTGTAATTGATCCTTACATCCTCGCAACGCGACAGTCGGCACATACAGGGAGTAGCGAGTGGATGGGACGTTGAGTTGGCAGGTAAGTTGGTGGTTTATCGAAAAATAGCGACACCAAAGGTACTATAAAGTCCTTTCTGCCACTTTNTGATTCAGGTCGCTGAAAACATTTTATTGATGCTTTATGCGTTTTCTAAACAACAATAAAATCTAACAACAAAGGTTTCTGATTTTTGATCAAAACATGGGTAATGGGCAGTGATTCACCGAATCCAGGCTACAACAACAGTTATTTAATTGATCGCTACTGCAGGCAACAACAATGGCCCCCTAGCAACACGTGACGCTACTAGTTCCCCTCTTTCAGCATGTGCATTTGCCGTTGTAATTGATCCTTACATCCTCGCAACGCGACAGTCGGCACATACAGGGAGTAGCGAGTGGATGGGACGCTGAGTTGGCAGGTAAGTTGGTGGTTTATCGAAAAATAGCGACACCAAAGGTACTATAAAGTCCTTTCTGCCACTTTTGCGAACCTTTGGTATATATTGACACAGATGAGTTTTGCATAATTTTTTCATGTTGGTCGCACAAGCTGGTGTCGTTTTACACGGGGCTAACGCCACCTTCGGTTATCGTGTCGTCTGCATCCTTAACTTTGGCAGCTCTAGTTGATAAACGGATGCAATCCAACCGATAGTGACAGCAAACATTGCACTTAGTACTATCACGAAATATCAAACTTGTCGTGGCCTACATCCATCGTACCTTATATTAATTCCCAGAGTTCCATTTTTAACAGAGATGCTTAAAGACGTAAGGGTATATATGTCAGCTATTTTCTCGTTTTATTCGGTCTTTGGTTGCTACTTATCTAAGTGGAGGAAATTCTACTCGCTCTGTGGTGGTCTCTAACTGTCTTCGAGGCATTCCGTTCGCAAATAGGCAAAATGAACGAGCCCTTTTCCTCAACAAACAATTTTATGGTGTTATATTGTATTGAAAATAGGATAAATTGACCTGCACTCGTTAATGGGGAAACTGGGTGTATTGGATTACTTTGCTAAAAAAGAAACTTTGTTCACCAGTATTCAGTCTCCTTTGTTGATCGCATAGGTTTATGTTTCCAAAAAATATGACTCCAACATTTTGTAACCTTTTTTATTCATACCGTTTTACGGAATCATAGGTTTGTTACGCCACCTAGCATCATTTTAATTCTAGAGGTTATTTATACCGAACATAATACAGATTCTATATTTTACAGATAAGCCAAGCTGAATACCATCCCCAGTGTCACAGCATCGGATGCTCTCTTAGTTCTGAGAACAGTTGTATACTAATCCACAGAAAATGAGGGAGCTCTCTGCAAGATTTCCACCCGTATTTGCCTCGGGAAAATCAACAGCGGGTAACAGAGGTATTTCACTTTCAAGTTCTTTTCATTTTTTTTTAATTCTACGCGTTTCCCATATGATTTAGATAACTTGGGTAAAGTTGAACTTGCATTAAAGTTTTTTATTTTTGTTTTTCATCTCGTAACGAAGATAGTATTGATTGTAATGATAGAGGAGAGAATTTTCATATCGAAGTTCAATGAATGGTTTTCGATCAAGGCCGTTTCTGAATTGTGTCACTAGATCATAGATGACGCATACCTACTAAGGGAAAGAGCAAACGTCCAAAGAAGAAACTACGCTGAAAATACGTCTTTGCATGTCAATGACAAAATGTGATTGGAAAAGTATATCATTACAAGAATATTTGTTTTTGTACTGAATTGTCCTGAGGGGCTATTAACGCAACTACTCGGTATAAATGAAATATTGTAAAAGTATTCGCTACTGAACTGATATGATATGACTGGCGCAGTTGAAAAGGTACTTCTAGCTGATAACGTGAAAATAAAACGTAATATAAATCTATAGTTGAAGAACTTGGGACATGAGGGTGCTTATTTTTGGTTGAGGATATTGGCATTATTTAACTAGATAGAGCATCTTGTTTTTATTCTTTTTATTCAATTAAAGCAATTAAATTGCGTGTATCCAAGCAGTTTTTTTCTCGACAACAATTCGTCAGATCTTAGATTTACCGCATATATAGAAAAATCTTTTTCATAAATTTTCAAATTCTAATATTATTGAGCAAGAAATTGAATGGAAATTGATTGAAAGGATTATGTATGACTGGAAGTGTTTGGTGTTTATAAAAAGGGATACAAATAAACTTTTAGTAGAGATTTTTGATTGGCGCACATATCAAACACGACTTGTGTACAGTGTCCTTACTGAATCTTTAAGACAACAAAGGATATACTGTGTAGGAAAAGGATATTGATACATCAGCAATGAATTGTAGGATCGTGACTGGTCTACTTAGATACATAGATATGTAAAGCTATAGACGGCCTTTGACATAACCAGTCACAATAGGGGCGCTCGCATAGGGCGGGAAAAGAAAAATATTGTTATAGCACAAGTGCATAGTTCAATTTACATGTATATAAAACAGTTACAAAAATAATTTGACGAATCTTTTAACTTTTGTCAAATAGCTATGAAACAGTGTCTCACTAGTCGGGACGCGTTGTTACTACAACATGTTTAACGGAATACGTAAAAAAAAAAAATACAAGACCTATTACAACAGGTAATAAAACTCCATGAACCAAAATCCTATTTATCAGTCTGAATTTTTTAGATAACGAACCTTATCATTCTTTCAGGAGACCAGTATGGCAGACCCCACAGGTCTTACAGACCCACACATGCTTACGGGTCCTCTCCAGTTCGCCTATTCCAGTTACCAAACAAACGTGCCCCTGTATCGAAATTACCGACCAAGGCAGTGGAGGACATGGCGGCATCTCGCTCCAAAAGTGCGATGTTGTCTCGAAGAGAGAAAATAGCGACTCCGAAGCGAGATGTACAGTCCGCTTGCGAGGTCAGACAGACTCCGGCGCCTGCAGAGGTGATGCCCAGTGTTCACACTCCCTCGTCATACAGTCCAGAAGGATATCGCCACAACGACAGAACATCCTCACCGAGTCCGGAGGAATTTGAACAGAGATATCAAGAATCGCTGAGAATTCATGGTTGGCGGGCTGAAGTGCATGGAAGTCCTTTAAAGTAAGGAAATCATCTGAGAGCAATTAATTAAGTGTAGAAACTAATTTCTATGAAAATGTAAATTCTCAAGTGACTAATTTTCCCTTTTAAAGGAACATTATTAGAACAGACCGTTGCCGGTTAGCTATTAATTAATTAATTAGTTAATTAATTTTTCTATTGTATTTTCCTATAAGGCTATTTTTAACATTCCAGACCAGTCTATAAGGGACCTAAAATTTCAACAGAGGTGAAATCACTTATTGCCAGAAAACCGCCACCATTCCAGTTCCATTTCCGGAACGACAACACTTACTTCTACCATACGATACCACCCAAACTGAACAGCTATGTTATTCACCCAAACTTCTTCTCGGAAAGGATTGCCGAAAGGCAGATTGCCCATTACAAAAAGCCAATAGAATACGTCTGGGCGTGACGGCTGACACAGGACTTTTTATTTATATAACAGTAGAGTGAGACATGATCTTCATTTCTGCGCTGACTTGGTTGAATCAGCGCGTTACTTGGCGTCGTGGCAGAAATGAGGATAAAAAAATCTCACATTAGACCCAGGTAGTCAATAGCTGGTTAGCAAATAAACATTGACCCTGGCTTCGTTGTTGCTCCCGTATGGTCTTATTACTGGTAGACCTGCTGGGTTTTGGATTCAAGGGCAATTATATCATCTGTCCAAATAAGCTTGTAACCGCTATGTCCCGAAAGCTACATACTTACATGTGAAGAAATTCTAAGAATTAAGCGACAGCAATTTATCAATTGAAAAAGCTAGCATGTTGAGAGCAAAGGATGATGGGTATTTAAGTGAACACCGAAAAAAAAAACAGGTGTGTTTATGTCTCTTGTAACCATGTAGATGAATGTGTAATGCTTGAAACTAACTTGGAGTTGATGCGGGTCTTCAACCAGATTAATATTCTTTTGATTGTAACCTCCAAGTGCCACTGACAATCATCACAATGATATGGAGTCATATATACATTTAAATGTCAATATCGTGTTTTTTCTAGTTTTTCTATTAATCAACATTATTTGGAAGAGTTATAGATAGCAACTTTTTTCGACAATCAAAAAAAAATTTCAGGAATTTATACATATTATTCTGAACAGTTCAGACTGATTATTCCAGCGCCTTGTGTACTGATAAATAATATTACTTGACTCAGATATAACACAGCTGCTAAAAATATACCATCGACAATCAGTTATAAGTTGTGGAGTGATTTACAAATCAAGTCATAGAGCAGTACTGTACATCCTTTTTATTGCTCAAGTTTTTATACTGAAAATTAAGACATTAAAGTCACAATCAAATAAACCTCGTGTACAAACTTTCACTATATTCTTTGTTTTCAATTTCATATATACAGAATCCAAAATATGCTGCCATCAGCAAAAACAAATAATGATTTATGGGTTTCGTATCTCCTTATCGCGATTATTCACTACACGCAAATACTTAATGCCTTATACCAAAAAGGTTTCAATCTATAAAACATACTCTAGGACAAATGTTAGGTAGGAATTCCAAACATTTTCTTTTAGTCGAAATTCTGAACATATATTTATATTCTTTTCTACAACGATAAGTGACATCTGATCTGTACAAGAAAACAGTTGCGATATTAAACAATCTGGGTCATCTAAAATGAAGCGTTATTATACAATGGAAAATAATTCCTGGGTGCGTAATATTTGACCAACAAAAGTAAAAGTATTAAGTTAACGATCCCAGCCACACCGCCTACATGGGTGTTGACATTGTTTCATTAACTACTAGATGTCTTTTGCAAAACATACTAATATTCTATCTACAATTTACAAGGTTATCTGAGTATCCTCTACAAGATGAAGTCATTATTTCCATACTATGAAATATGCTTTTTGTTGTAAAAATATTGATTTCTGTACAGCTTTTCTACAATGTGTCAGAGCATGTAAAAAAAAAACGCACTACTCTTTGCAAATCCGCTCTCAACTTCAAGTTTTTTCTACCGGGCACACTAATGGTGTACATTATAGTTAGATATGCGTACTCAAGTCTATCATGCCTGATATATAAAAAAAATTCAGACTAAACCAGTAAAATACGATAAGTCAAACGGCAGTAAAATGCAAATAGTTTATGATATCGATATATATATTCAACGTATGTTTGAAATCGTCACTAAAACATAAGTTTTTCATTTGAAGGCACTAAAATAAACATGTTTCACATGCACATCACAACCATAAATGCACTGCGTTCAGTTCTTGTTTTCATTCCAAGAACTTCTTTGCAATGGGTTATATGGAATAGTTTATCTAAAATTGTCACTAAAAGCACTGTTTGAATAGTTGAACACTCAGCTGATCTTGTATTAAAAGTCAATTCCTGATATAAAACGTGTTTAACAAGCAAATAATAATGAAAGAAAGGCGAGACAAAGCACCAAGATGTAACTACCATGGAATGTGATGCTTCCCCCCAAAACGTAGATGACATTTTCTTTCAACCATGGGTTGGCACCAAAATCAAACTTCTGTGGACAGTCGTCATCTGTAAGAATTAGTGAAATATAAATGAATACAAACTGAAATTAAAAGAGGGCAAATGAGTTACAAAAATTATACATAAAGTAAACAAAATTCCTGCATCTTCACTAGATTACATCAAACAGGCCGCATTTTCAATCATTAACCTTTTAAAGATGAACTAGAAGTCCCACCATTAAATTTAAAGATCTAGGATGGCAACTTACGCTCTCTTTCATCTAAGAACATCTGTATGGACAGACTGGCTCCTTCTGATGCTCTGAAACTCCTTGGCGTCTGTGCCACACCGCAGGCAGCACGCACGGCCCGCGACATGATGATATCACGCCACGTTAGCCTTTCATAAACCTGTCAAACAGAACAATGATTAAAACGGCAGGAAAAGGAAAGAAACCTGCATGAAAAAAGTGGTGCGGAAATCCAGTTTCCTCATTATCTCTTCATAAACTCCATGGATTATGTGAACTGCTTATTATATAATTTTTCTTAAATAATAAAAATATTTTCAAGGTACAAAATGAAAGCATTTTATACATTTTACTAATTAAAAGAGGAGCGATATAGCATTAAACAATTCTTATAATCTGTTTAAGCCATCTTTATCTTCTTGTATTTGTTGAGGTTCCACATACCCAACATCTGAATCGTGAGATTCTGTCCTCCTCATCATAAGTGACCATGTATGACCTGTTGTCTTCCAGCCAGTAGCCAACACAGGTCAGCAAGTTATCCGGAACATCTACAGAAATGGATTGATATCATTTATACTATAAAAACAATGACTTTAACTGTTTCACATTGAAAAGATATTGTTCAATATTCAGTCATTACTTTGGAACAAGAAAATTAAGTGACCCAGTTATTAATGGTAATGAACTTTTAAATCACATCCAAAAATTTTGTCTCTACAAACACACATAAACAATAAAGTGTCAGTATCTCATATGACAATTCCCTAACCATATTCTCCGACAGGTCTGGCATTTTGATCCAATGTCCTGCAGCGCTCAGCATCCACCTCAATCACCTTGCTGTCTCTACTGTGACATATGGCAATCTCTGACTCATAATCTCTGCAGTCAACCTGCACACGGGGACGCTCAGTGATACCTCTGATTCTGGTCACATATTTCTCTGCACCAAACTGCTTAAATGTATACCTTCCCTGAATTGGGCATTCTATGGGAGATGGGTCATACACTAGAATAAAGCCATGTTTTTGTAAATATTATTTCTTCAAACCATTAGTTGCAATAAAATGTAATTTTTATGTATTATGGACAAATATCTTTATTCCTAATTATGAAATTACTGAAGACAAATAAATTTGCATTAATTCCATTTCTACTTTTAACTGGGTAAAATAATAAAAAAGCAAAATTAATACAATATACTTCAATAGAGAACTTACATATAAATGTATTGTACTTCCAATTATAGTTTTGCTCATTTAAAACATAGGAGGGTCTTGCACACGCCTGTCTGAACTTGGTGACAAGATAATCTTCAACTGGTTGCTCTTTCTCTTGTCGAGATAGACGGAAAGGCTTCCCTGTAAGGTAGTATGAACAAAACATCAATCCAACATTTACTTGTGCAGTATTTTTTTCTTGATATGAAGAAATCAAACAAAAACTACTGAAATAATAAGACATTTTAAGTTGATAGCCAATGAGTATTTATTATCAATTATCTCAAGAACATTGTGCATTCATAAAAAAATTAGTTTGTCTGTGGGCAAGTTAAAATTGTACAACTTATATTTTCAACAAAATTACTGAAATACAGGTAGAAGGGTATGGTCTTCAGTTTATATACAGGCTATTTACCTAGTCTGTATCTGATTATGTTGTGATGACGGGGAAGGAAGTCAAAGCACACATAATCTACCTCACTGGAAATACAAAAAAAATCTATTAGAGTTTACTGAATTAATGAACAGATGAAATCACTAACAAAAACATGTTGAGAATGCAAAATCCATCTATTTACTTAACCTCTGCACACTGAATTATACTTCAAGTATTGCTGTTCATTCAATGTTAATTCTTCATTGGAAAATAAAACTTATTATTAAAGTATGGGCTTAGCCTAACAAGATAATCCATGCAGTGGAAATATTCTGCTCTTATCTAAATAAATCATTTTCTGATTCCTAAAAAAGTTATTAATATTCAGCCATATCTGAAACTAGCTTCCAGGGTAAACCCAGATATTGCCGTCCAGAAAACTCACCATCTCCCCCTTGTGACAGATGTCATCATGTAACTGGACTGCTGTGTCTGTTGACAAGTGAAATATGTCTCCCTGGTGGTAAACTGGTCAATTTTAGTCTTGAAGTAGATGTGAGTGTAGTTGATGGTGACAGTGGAGTCATATTCACCAGTGGTAAACCAGGTCCCACTGAAGTTTCTAGGCAGGTTGCAAGATGGAGTGATTTCTCGCAACTGGGTACTGCCAACAACTAAAAATTAGATAAAAAACATATATACGAAGCTTTCTTATTGTAGAATTGACTGAAATAGTTGCTTTTTATCAATAATTGATTACACTAAAAATTAAATGCAGACAAATGATTAAATGTATATATATTCATGATGAACTGTACATGCTACCATTTTATACCAGATTGGAATTGTTCTATATATGTACAGTGGTTATGATTGCCCTTGAACAATTGAATAATCTGATTTGGCCATCAAAAAAATTCTCACCAGGTGTTAACAGCAGTCTTATAGGTCCCTCATATGGACTTTTCAACGTGGAACATTCCGCACTCTCAGACATGGTCCAGCGAACCTCATTATTTCCTCTTTGTTGTTCTTTTCTCGTTAACTAAAAAGTAAATGTTTTATACATAATTATATGGTACAATAATTTTTAAAAACCAACCCCAAGTCAAGGTTACATCTTTTACTGTGTACAATATACTTTTATGTGTTTACTTAACCATAATCATCAAATGACAAATGTTTTTACTCTGAATTCATCATACCATGCATCTAAACCTTCTGTATGGCCGATCTTCTCCTGTGTTCATAACAGCTGCAAATATGTTCCCATTATCATCCAACCAAGAACCTAAGCACTGGTATCTTATGGCTAAAGAACAAGAATTCATACAATTTAAAGATAAAAGACTCATTTCCAACAAAACACTTTTTCATAAAACGGTTATTAGAATTTGCTCATCTTGAAAACGTGTACATTTATAAAAATATCCACTTGCCAAATATTTTCATTCTTTCTGATCCAATTTTTTACATTAATAAAATAATCATGTACAATATTCAAATTGTTGAAATATCAATATCTGTACTTACTGTCATCTTTGGACATACTCAATCCAGGGCAAACAGCATAGACCATGTCAAAGGCCTGGTTGTCATAGTAGACTGACCCTGGCAGTTGACAGGCAGTTATAATACTACTTGGACTGTTACAGATACCACCACCTCCAACATCATACTCATATGTAAACTGGAAGACACCTTCAAATGTGGTCCTGCAGTTCACATTGATGGCAGACTTCCCTGCAATTAGTAATGATTTAAGTTAATTCATTCAGTCAATATCAACTGAAACTTTTTTAAAATGTAATTTTTATACAGATTATCAAAGTTGATAAAACTGATAACACTGATATTTCTCTAGGCTTACTCTTCCAAATCGCATACATAATAAAGTTCATATCAATTACAGATTAGAGAAATAAAATGAAGTATTCCAATTTTTACCTCAATATGTGTCCTAAAATACACTATTGTAAGCACCTACTACCTCACAATATTTTATATCCTCAATAAAGTAGTTGGTAAAAAACGAGTCATGTTAAATCATTCATCATCACATCCAAGTACAGGGGTATTGCAACTTACTGAACATAGTCACCAAGCCTGCCTGTGGCCGTATTGCATTACAAACATCTTCCAGGGAAGGAGCTATTGGGCTGGATCTACAGGAAGATGCTGCAAAAAGGGAATTATTATTATTATTTTTTGTCAATATCAGACTATTGTTAGAGTACAGTACCAGTATGCTTCTTGCTTTGATTTAAACCTTCCACATATTAAGCATCGGTTTCCAATTGTGAGTAAAGAGAGGTATGTGGTGTCTCCTTCATCAGACTGGTGGCAAGCAGATAAAAACTTTTGAGATATTGTACTTATTCAACTTGTACATAAATGAAAGATTTCCTACCTGATCTTTGCTGGAGAATGTTTGGGGTTCTCAAGTATAACTCTAAGCACATATAGCAATTATTGCCACCTCTGAAATAAATACATTGTATATAAAAATTATTAGCAATTAATCAACATTGTTGCTTTACCAAGTACATAACAAAACCAATAGTGCCACTTTTTTCATTATTTGTGACATTCCTTTTTATGTGGACACTCCATTCCTAAAACAAGAGAACTATAAAAACTGCAACATGAAAGAGTATATCTCAAAAAAGTAATTAATTAATTAATTAATTAATAATAATTACAAAATAAAAACAAACAAACAAACAAACAAACAAACAAATAAATAAATAAATAAATAAATAAATAAATAAAATAAAGGTTTCATTCCTTATTTACATAACTGAGTCATTTTCAAATATAACAGTTCTACATTTGAAGGGTTATTCTCTAAAGAATTACCATCAATCATATCTGAAGCGCAAGAGATGTAATCACCTACCTACTATTCCTTATTAAAACTTTGAGTTTATTGTTCTGTTCGTGTGTAGTTGTTTCATTATAACGTCTTGAGGCAATGCATGGTCCTCCATATTCTCTACTATTGATTTGAAAAGCTGTGCCATCAATAACTGTATCTGTGTCTTCACCATTCTCCTTAGAGTACCAGTCTCCTAAAAACCCACTTGGGAACTGACACTGTTGGGCCTCTAAAACAGGTAGAAAACAGATGATTCAACTGACCACTCTTTCACCAAATCCATTAATATCAGTTGTTAAATTTTGTAACAGACACTGGTTCAAGGCTCTCAACATTTTATCAGCACTTTCTCCAGAATATGACCAATTTTAAGTTATATTCATTAGCAATGATCGAGACACCTAGCTATGGTTCACAAACAAAGCTTGCTGAACTTGTCCCCTTTCATAACTGGTATGTCGTAAATCAACAATTTGAATAAAATGTTTTTAAATTAAATAGGCGCCCACACATATAACTTTCAGTTTCGATCCCAGGTATCCCCAAAATCATCAATAAATGCCCGAGCATATTCTTATTATCCTTTACAGAAAATTTTGAACCAGGTAATGAGCGCTTAAAGTAAAAAAGAGGCAGAGCTCAGAGCTCAGTGATCATGAAAACAACTTATGAAATTTCACAGGTACATGTATGCATTGTTTCGGTTGTGGAATCAAATAAACAATTGGAACCAATTAGAACTCCTTCTGAGCTTAACCTAAAACAGTCGAAAACACATGAATACAGTGCAAAGAGAGTACTTCTTAATCTTGCAGACACAGAGATAAATTAAAACATGCAACAATGATTCATTTCCGCGGTATGACAAACATGCCGCGCAATCAACGGCAATTTACAGGCCAAGGTACGGTAGATAGTATTGTCCGATTACTTTTGCAAGGTATATTATACAATATTAAAACTACAGAGGAATAAATACTTACGTGTACATAATACTAGTAACGTCAAAACTATACATATTTGGCCTACGAGGACACCTCCACACCTCGCCGCCATCTTGTCCCTTCAAATTTACAATAATGGCAGGTGAAAATGGTCACGTGACAAGGTGACCATAAATGTTCATTTGTCATGAAGCTTTCAAAGTTGCTAAAGTTTATCTATGAGAAAATTATTTTTGATGAAATTTCAGTATTTGTGGAATTGGGTTTGTGGAATTGCGTTTCTTAATGCACGCAAGCGTATTTCGTTGCTGCTTATATGTATCCCGCGCACCTGTTAATCAACGTAAACAAGTAAATTGATGACTCAACTGCCAGATGGCAGCACAGTATTTCAGGTGACCTCTAGGCTTAGGAATTCATGTTTGTGCCGTTTAGCACCTCAGTTGACACTGGTATATGTTTACACGTTTTCCGCCAGTTATGATTCTGTTTTACTCAAATGAAATCGCTATACCGTTATTTACGTGTATGTGCGCGCGCGTGCGCNATATCCACCGTTATCCAGCCCGCACATTATTGAGTTTAAACTTAACAGAAAATATTGACAAAATAATATCATTTTAAAATAATTAGAATACCATTAGCTAAATGTCAATTCCTTTCATGATAATATTAGAGTGTGCAACTTCGCTGTCATGCGATGCTGTTGTTGTCTGAATGATAAAATGTTTTCTTTTCTCCGAATCGTTTCAGAATTTTTAACGCACGAATTTGCACAAGAAAACGACAGTGAGCCAGATCACACACACACACACACACACACACACACACACGACATAACACACTAAAAAAGCCTTTTTCAAAATAATAAACAGTTCGCACTCTTCAAATTGCTTTCTTAAGATTATTATCTATTTGTTCTAAAAATCTTGAAAATTTTTTTAGATAGGTAGGCCTTAGTACATGTAGCATTTAGCAAAAAAAAAAAAAAAAACAGGTCTTTCATTTTCCTGTGATCACGAAAACTTACACAATGTGTTACCCAATTTTTGTGTCTTTATCCTTCTCGGTAACAAATAGTAATTTCAACAAGGGAATTATATCGATATAATTCCCTGTTTCAACCAATACTTCAAAACTCCTTCGTGCTGTACCAATCTGATTATATTTCAGGTGACTCCTCTTGCCAAATTATTTCAACAATCATTCAACAAATAAAAATGTATCGTTTCATATTCTTTTTGGATTATAAATGATGTTAGGTATGCTTTTTCATACCAGTCACTGCATGCTAATTGTACGTTGTGGGCCAAGACACCAGACAAGCGATGTCCAACTTCAAGTATATGATCTTTGCCATTTAATCGAATAATTGTAAAGTGTGGAATATACTATGAATTTTAATCGACTGTTTTGCACAAAGAATCTTATAGGATGTCTACATGGGTATTTTGATTAAACATAGTAATTTGAGCATGGTTTGATAATAGATGTTTAACAGGAAGAACCTATGGGTAGAGGAGTTCAAATGTATGGGAGGGGGGTGTCAGCCTACATGTCAGTCTTAAGTGCAGGAAGCAAATGGGCTAAGGGACTCTGTCCGCTTCTTTATGCCAAATAAATGTTTATACTAGCACTTTAATAAGAGCAGGCCGAAATCTCTACCCTCTCCCCCACACGCGCACACACATACACACATTAAAAATGTGCTTCCTTCTGCACTTGTACTTTAATTAGTAAATTAAATGCATGTTTAAAATATAACCTGAATAAAAGATATCAAAGTGTGGCGGGAGTGACCGGCTATCCATGCATGTAGCTGAGTAGGCCTATCCCTGACGCGTTGATCATCACTAAAACTACCCTTCCGCGAGAGAGTCAATTAAACCCGAAGCGGCTGCCCAGCAAACAGTCAGAAAAGAGTTGTTGATGATGATAAATGAATGTCATATTGATCCATACATAACGTTAGAGCCTATACATGCCGTCAAATATGACCTGAAGTTAGTTTTTTTTTCGCTTGGTTAATTCCCGCTTCAGTCACAATGAATTAACAGCAATTGCCAAAATAAACAAGTTTATTTGTTAAATCATCCTTATATGAATAAGCTTCGCTTTAATAAAGTTATACTATAAGCTTTTACTACATACTTTATTATATGGCAGCTTGTCATGCTTAGATACGGTATACATTTTACTAGCGACACCTATCGGTCACCGCGGCAAAATATTTACCGACCTTGGAAACATAACAGTTTACCTTAGATACATCTGGGACCGTCATATATAAGCCTATAGAGGGTCAGGGGAATTTATTATGTGTGGTTGACTCTGTAGTAATTAGCGAGAACTTGACAAAGAAAGCATTGTGTTGAAAAGCGAAGACAAGAACTGCTGGGCAGAGTCAATCATAACTTAGAAATATATTAAATAGGTTTGAAATCACTGCTACCAAGTAAACTCCAGTCTACAAGAAAACTACTACCATGGGTTGTAACAATAGTAGGAACATTCAGGTCCAGCCAGTGTCCAAGACCCCTAGACCGAACAGTGGAAAATGGACAGCAGAGATGGACAAAAATGAAAAGAATACGTCCTCATCAAAGCGTGGAACACCCGTGAAGCAAACCAAGGTCCAACCTGTGGAACCATTGGAACACATGGAGCTAGACTCTGATGTCGAAATTGAGAAAGCAGTTCTTCCAGATCAAATCATCTCAGGTCAAGAACAAATCGACATGAAAAAGGGAACGAAAAAGAAGAAAAGAGGTCTGAGTTCACTTGCTAGTCTGCGGCGTGACGGCAGTCGCCCCAACAGCGCTACCTCCAACAACTCCCAGCGAGGGGGATCAGCTACCTCCAAGAACTCCAAACACAGCACTGACTCCGGATTAGAAGAAGATTATGCTCATGTCATTACAGAATACTCAGATGAGAGCAAAATAAGAGCACTGGGAGAAGAATTTGGATCTAGAGAAGATTTAGGTAATTAATTAATTAAGAAATTAATAAAAAAAAAACATGCGGCATGGGCCTATAATATGTTACTTTAACGCAGTGATCACTAACAATTATTGCCTTTCACGAAAGAGATATAATTTTCATATTTGTTAAGACAGCGTGGCCATTGGTATTGTTATTAATTTTATTTTCGTTTACATAATTTGTTTTCCGTGTTTTTTTTTTTCAATATTTTTTCGTTGGCAATCTCAATTTAACAGCATCAACATTTCTTGTGAGTTGTTTGCACCCGGCTCTGCATTGAGGTGCGCTAAGTTGCCACACAATCCAAGTATTGTTAGCATTGTAGTCAACTCTGTGTTTAACAATCAAAACAAATCCAGTGACTTGGGGGCTTGCTCAACGTAATGACGTCACTCAACATGAAAACGTAGAACAATAAATTGTACGTAGTAGCTCGCCAGCTAAGAATAGTGACTAAATGTTACAAAGAAATTTAATCTTTAAATAACGCTTTGTTCATAATTTTGAAACTAGAACCGTATTAAATAGTAAACCCTTTATTTTCTTTTTTTATTAGATCTAAGCTTAAGTGGAACTGCCTGCCCCCGTCGCACAAGCGCAAAGGACAAGGCAAGACTAGAAGAAAATGTTGTCATGGCAGCGCTGAGGGATGAAGGACTTATTGCCCGGCCTAAGTCCAGAGCGGCAGGAGGCATGAGCTTTGACATCATCATGGCTGGACCCGACCCTGACGCACTAAAGAAACCACCGGCCCGCCTTGCAAAACTGGAGAGAAGGAAGAAGAAGACGGAATTAACAGAAGATCAAATAAAAGCTAAACTTGAAAAAGCCGAGAGGAGAAGAAAGGTAAATATCTTATTTGTGAACAGAAACACGTTTCATAAAAATGTCTGGGGTAAGCGGCGATTTCAAATACATTCCGTAGCTACGTTTATATTGATTTCAAATAAACGAAATTAGTGCCAGCCGTTACCATTGAATTAGTTTTCTAAAAATCAATATTTAGAATAACTGTTTCATTGGAGCTTTATTAAATACTCATTTTACAACTTCATGCTTAATTTCTCTCTTATATTGTTTTTAGAAAAAGGAGCAGGAAAAGTTGGAAAGAATTCAAACAACTACACAGAAAAGCGACATTTTACATGCACTAGACTCTTTTGAACAAAAAATTAAGGAAAAGGAACAGACCACATCTGAAAAAATAGACAGTGTTACAGAAAACAGAGAGAAAAAACTAAAGGAATTGAGAGACAAACTAAAAGCTAAGGAAGAGCACGCAGAAAAAGTACGCCGAAGGAAAAAGCTGCTTCCAATGATGCCCCACCCAGAATCTTCACAGGCCGCAGAAATGGAACAACTTAGTTGAAAAAATGTCCTCCTAGCTAGGAAGCTTTTATATTACTGAACTTCCGCCTGTCGTCAGATGTAGTGCTTGCCATATTTAAGTAAGAGAATCACTAAATATAAGAAAAATATTTTGCTCACGTTTTAAGTGAGAGCTCAAGATGCAGAAATAGCAACGAAGAAGGCTTGATTAAATGTTGTTAGTTACATGGTATTCCGTGTATTTTCAGCACTTACGCACCATTCTAACCGGGATGTTCTTACGCACTTAAATTGAGGTTCTAGGTACACTCAGGTTTTTATATCGATATGATATGGTGTAAAATGGATTGTTTTTGTTATTGGTTCTATATAAACATATAATGTTATTTGCTCAATGATCGGAATAAAGTTTAAAAAAACACGAATTTAAGTCTTTGCTTCTGTTCATATTGATTGTGAAGCGAAATGGAGCGACATTGTTATCTTGTGTAAAAACGGAAAACGGGGGAGGTACTTCATGGTCGATTATCTTGCTTGGGGGAAGCTTTTTGGATCGGCATTTAAAAGTACATTGGTAAATAATTAATTGGCATACTTTTACTTTGCTAGCATTTGCAAAACAAAGATCGATGATTACATGAAAACTTACGTGTATTTATTTAGAGGCAGGCCCTCGACTCAAAGGGCAAAAGAAAAATTAGTCACACCTCTTCATACATGTGTCACTTGAGAGCAACTCCTTCAAAGTGTACATTACAAATTTTTCACCCCTGCTGTAGAGAATTCTTTTGAGATACAGCGTACATACAAGTCTCGGATATGCATTTCTTTTAAAAACTGATAAGAGACAGGTATGCTGTTTGCGGGAAAATCCCGTTAAAGCCATCTTCAACAAAATTATTTGTCCTACTATCCACTTCATAATAAAAAAATGGATGCTTTTACTAGTCACGAAACGCGTGAACAAGGAACTGTCCATAACGTTCTCTTCCAAGAACAAATATTGAATTGCAGAATAAAGAGAGATTGTGATTATGTTCAATATCCATACACATCGTATCCAAAACCTCATACATGTGTATCATCAATTAATAAATCCAAACTGCGTGGTTTTGAAACCGTTCATGGAAACGACCCAAGTTAGAAGGTTGCATGAACAAGCTTGTTTATTCGTCCTAATGGAAGATATAAATTACATACACAATAAGTGTCATGTTACAATTAATTAAACATGGTTTTAACATAGATATACACATATCAAGTAAACAGTGACGCATTGGAGAATTACTCTACTCATCAATAGTGACAGTTTTATGTACAACACATATTAGAACGACAGTAGATTTATAACTATTCATTTCCTTGACGTCATATGTACAAACAAGAATCGATTGGCAATTACTTTATTCCGTGACTCTAACCACCATATTGGAATGCTTTGGCAGAGTTTACCGCATATTATAAAAAAATTTTATTCAAAATAGTCAGGTGAAAACACGCAGTACGGTATTTAAGTTACCCCTAAAAAGGATAGAAAGACAAAAAATTCTGATAATTTTCCACAAAATTGATGTTACATTTACCCAGCACCATAACTATTCTAAAGATTAATATTGCTGTGTTATTACTGTCCATATTCTACTGGGTAAACTGTTTGCAATTGATCTTGGCAGACTCTGATGGGGTTTTTAATTATAATTATTCCTATATGCAAAACTACAATGACATTTTGTATTTTTAAGAACCAGTGTATTTACATTATTTTTGACTAAAAATACATTACATAACTAAAATAAAAATAGATAGAAAAAAAAAGTGTAAAGTAAATTAATATTTGTGTATTTCAATGCAACACTACAGCAACTGCTAGAAGTGAAATGAGAGATGTTGGAGAGGAAGGGGCATTCACAGAGAGGTTCACTATCCAGTCTGCGAGGCAATAGCCCTTCTAAAGTGGCACCGGGCTAGTAAAAAGTTGAAATAATATAAAGCACTAGCCCGAACTAGTTGTAATTTTGCATCTATTTTAACACTCAGTAAGATTTCAAAAATATAAGTCGCCAGTCTTCTTTGTCCCTGCCTCTAATTTGACGTTTCTAGATAGTATGATATGCCTCTCAGTTGAAAAAACTCACACCTAGCTCTAACTACTGAATATAGATTAGTTGCTATAAATAACTTCACTGTAGTTATTTATAGCAGCAGTCTGTCTGATCAGCGTGTCGGCATCTTTTTATTTGACCAGTTTGTTGTCATGACTACAAATTGCTGTCAATCAAGAAACTGGATCAGATCGGAATTCCTTAGTACTAGCAACAGGTTTTGTCAAAACAACACTGTCTCCGAAGCAATCTCATAGAACATTTGGGTTACAGATCGCATTACAGAGTATCAGCCATCACACCGATTTTGCCTGGTGTGCTATGTGATAGCCATGATCCTAAGCGGGGTTGGAAAGTAGTGCATCTCATCTAGATTCATGCGCTGCTGCAATTTTCCCTGTTTATGCAAAAAATCTAACAATACCGCAATTTTTTAACATAAAATTTAGGTTCGAACATAGCCAATGATGTTTTGTAAATAAGAACTTGCAAACTTATATATTAAGTATACCTAATTTTGATAGCGGAAGCATATTCAGTCGGGGGTTAAATAAAATTATGCGATTTTTTCACAGACTACCGTCTGTCACCATGTTGTTGCATTCATACAACTCCTACTTGACGAAAACGAGGCGCGATACCCGGATGACAGGTAGGCCTACAAAATTTGTGATGGGGTATGATACTCTGTAATGCGATCTGACACACACCTTGAAAACGGGTAGTGTGGTCTGATATACCGGTTTATTCTGGATCCGTAGGTGCCGAGTCTGGTAGTTGGGTAGGCCTGGGTTAGGACCACTTAGCAGACTGAGGGGTGGAGTATTCTATTTCCTTTTTTCTTTATATTTTTTATCTATAATTTTAATATCCATGCCTAAATACATTTTCCTTCGCTTATTGCCTTTTAAAAACAATAAGACCCTGGCAGTTGCATAAATACCCTATGAACTATTCTTGACAATGTGGGATAGTTCGGTTTATGTAATGGCTACCCCTCCACACTTTGTCCTGGTAAAGTCCTTGAAAAGTTGTTTTTACAAATATATAACCAAAAGAATTGTAACCAAAAAAATTGTAAGACGTTTGTTTAATTACCCTTACAGCACCTATGTATTTTAAATTAGAAGTGGCATTATATACCGATGTAATTGGAAATAAATTGTCAGAAAAGAGTCATTGTCAATAAAAAGAATAGGAATTTTAAAAAAAGATTTTGATTGCATATAAAAAATGGGGAAAAAAGATGTTATAAAATATGAAAAGTAAGGGTAACTATATTCAGTATTACAAATTAAAAAAAAAGAATTTTTTCAATATTAAAAGAATTAAATATATTTTTAATTAATTTTACCACCCCATCAACTGGAAATTAACCTGATTGACTTTGTTATTCACTTGCTCTACTTCTATAATAAGGTTTATAAGAAAGTACAGTATGGTACCAAAACTCTTTACAACATCTGCTTAAACTTTTTAAATGATTATTTAAATTGGGCTAGTGTTTTTTGGTTCGGGCTAGTAAAGTTTGAGAGTCTGCTAGCTCAAAGGACTTGTAGTCTAAAAAGTTTTGGGCACAGACTGACTATCTATATAAAAATTCATTATCCTCTTTCAATGAGGTCCCACTCTTTTAGAAAACTATGTCCCTGAAGGTGTCAAATTAATTCTATGTGAGAAAGATCATGTTGACTATACCAAAAAATTATACATACTTTACATTATTATAAGTGGTTTCCAATCTGCACTTTAACAATACCATAGTAATCTTTTTCTTTTAATGTCATCTTATGATTCACATTATACTTTGCAAAAAATCTGTCGTTCATAGTGATTTAGATGAAACCCAACTAAATTATATGCATATGTGCACTATGGCTGGTCAAGTAGCCAGCTGCAGTGGTCACCTCCTGTTCATTCAAGTATGTGCCCCAGTGGCTAGCCAGATGATCAGGGTAAGGAGCAAAATAGAAACCACCACTACAATTGCAATGAAACAATAGCGTCTGCGAACTTGCTTCTGAAATATATATATAAAAAACATATATGAATATATTTATATGAGCCAAAATTAGTGTGATATTATTTATAAAATTCATTCTAAACAATATCCTTGCCTTCTAATATTCCAGCAAAATACACTATGTATGAGAATACATTATTTCAAATTTTAATATAGATAACAGAGCCACAGGAAATGAAATGGCAGCAAGCAAGAAAACAAAAACAGTACAGACAATCTAATTTCAATTTATTTGGTATGTTACTGTCAGGGTACATTCACAATTTACATGACTACAGCTAAGCTATATGAAATCCTACTGTTCTTATCAAAGAAGGGCAATCTATTACTGCTGTAGTCAAGCTCAAATAGTTTAAATTTATTCTTTATATACTAACAAATTCAAAAAATTAAAAAGCACCTAAACATTTAATACACATAAAACTTGGAATATTTCCATGCTCTATTATGAGGTAACAAAATGCGTGATGAAGTGAAACTGAATTACACCTCTATATAGGTATATGACTCAAGCTTTTGCTACAATAAGGATCATACAAACATTCTATTTAAGATACCTTTTCCTCATTTATGGGGTGTAAAAAATGGTCCCAACCATAAAATTTGGTCAGAGCATGAAAAACTTAATTATGGCATAAAATTGTTGGACCATGACTTTTTTGTGAAACTCATGCCTTTAAACCAAATTTTCAGTATCAATACCATAGGCTAGTATTCAATTAATTCATTTTCATCCACCAGATATAATGCAAATAAATAAATAAATAAATAAATAAATAAGAATAATGATAATAATAATAATAAAACAGACCTACTGTAACAGATAACAGCCATCCTATTTGTTTTTTAGTCCCACAGAAAGACCAATGATTAAAGCTATCACAGCTAGAACAACTATTAATATTGTAATCAGACAACATTTCTTCCTTCTTGCTTTGGACTGAAATAAGACAATTGAAAGGAATAAAAATGAATACCAAGAAGCAGATGTAAAATAGATCATAGATAGTGTTGACTGGTAGTCATTGCATATCCCTGCACTTCCCCACTTGTAGAGAGTAGTTTACCTTCAGGGACCCCATTCCCTTGATACATGTATGAATGACAATGCCTAGATGCTTTATCTTCATAATAACAGCCCAATATCAGGCACACATAAATTATAACTGGCCCATCCACATCCCTGATGATAAGTCTATCATTCTCAAAAGTTTTAACTTCTTCACTCTAATGGTCTAGGGAGGGTTAGCAGAAAATGCAATGTAAAAAGAATTTAGAATCCCCCCCCCCCGGGACAGCCCAAAAACCCCTAGGCACACAATAATTCTGAGTGACCATGTGCATCCCTGATAATAGGTCTATCAATCCCCTTAAAACTTCCTCACTGGTGGTCTAGGAAAAGATAGCAGCAATGATAATTTGAAAAGAATTAACTACCACCCAGGGACAAACCAACCCCCACGCACACTAAAATTCCTTAGTGCCCATGCACATCCCTGATATGACAGGTCTATCAATCCCCAAGGTGTAAACTTCTTTACTCCAATGATCTAGTAGGAGATGGCTGAAATTTCTAATGCACAGTTGTACAGACGGTCAGGATAACATGATCCCTGACTTTTATCACAAAAATGCAGGGATAAACAGGGCCACTAAACAACTAAACAAAACAAACAAAGCAAAGTTTAAAAAATATATTTTTCTAAAATTTGAACATCACCAATTTTACAAAAGACAGGGCAATAAATTATTAAGACCTACCTGCCACCCACTCCCAAATGCATGCCTTTAAAATCTTTAACCATGCACAAGATGGACACTTGGTAAAATTAAGCAGTTATGCTTAAAAAAAAGAGCCAGAATATGAAGGAAAATCTTTAACATACTGTACCTGGTAATCTCTTGCTTTTGCCAGTTGTTCTGTTCCTGCTTCTACTTGGATCTGAGCAGATTCTACATTGGCCTCTATACTATCTGTAGAGTAATGTGAAAACTCATTTTTTAATTTTTTATTTTTTCAATTTTGAAGAAGGCTAAACATCCTAAAAAGAGTGTTAAATTCTACAGATCTACATGACAGAAATATAACATTTTCCTAATTGTATAGGGAGTAAAACATAAGGGGTTGACATAAAAAATTTTTCTCTCATATCAAACTTCCCCAAACATGTTCAGTTGTAAATGAAATTTTATAGATTATATACAACCATGTAACAGCTTACCAATTACTTCTCCTTGTTCATGAACCAGCATACCAAGGTCCTTGAAAATCTGGTTGACATCCATTATGTCACTCTGAAGTTTAGAAAAATCATACTGTCATTCCATTCTAAAATCTCCCTTTTAAGTATTTTCTTATCTTTCAGCACAATACACAGAAAAGATCTTATTTTGAGATTTATCATTTTGCCAATATTAGTCTTTACCTCAAGTTGTTTAATGGCAGTTTCTCTTTCCTGAATTAACTGAAGGTCCACATCTTCTTCCATTTGCAGTGTTTGCTGTCTACTACAAAAGAAAAAAATCTTTATGTCTTTATTCTTCTGCCTTAATGGCATTAAAGTTATCTAATTAATCCATTGTGCACAATTTCATTCAACAAAAAAGAAAAATAAATTAAGAAATGACAACACATCTTTTAAAAAAAGTATGTATAAATAAAGAAAATTACAAATTTACAATTCAGCCTACCATACACCCATTTCCACATTGAAATTATGTAATCATTATGATCCCAGACACAGTGCACAGAGAAGTAAATACAAATGTATCATCAAATATTGCACCTTACCTAGGAGGTCCTCCACCAATATCTATAATTTGTTGCTCTCGTGGACCTTCTAAAAATGCAGACTACAAAGCAACAAAGGAAAGACATTTAATTGATTATTCAAATCATTCACATTTGTATGATTGTCTTAACAACACAAAAGTATACATACTGCTTGATTGTAAACTTTCAAAAAACTTACATCATGTCCAGAAGCAGCTCTTGCACGCCGAACACTGGCTTTTTCTTTATTTGCAGCTTCCCTTTGCAATGTTTGAAATTCATTTAACAGTGACGTGAAATCCTCCATTAAGCGTTCCCTTTGCATTTTTCTTTGACGCTGAAACAAAAATAATCAGCTGTCTTAAATATCTGTATTTTGTGTGTCCATGCTCTTCAAATTTTATTTTTTATATATGTTTCTGCTTTAAAATTCAAATATATATTTTTTCAACTAATGCAATGTAACCAAATAAACAAATCCAAATTTTGGAACTTTCCTTCTTCTATTATACATACTTCTTATTTACTAAACAATGCAACAATGGTGAACATCTAAATGGCAACAATATACCTGATCTGACTGATTTGATGACACTGGCAGATGACTAATATCTTTGAAATATTGTGTAGTGCTTTTTGCCAAATCATTCGTCTGATGTTGACTTTCATGACTGAAATGACGCAAGTTAGTTCACAACTATACAACTCAAACTGTTTTTCAAATCCTTCATGTTGTTATATTATTCAAATACAGGTTAAATTTTATTTCATATAAACATTATAAAGTGCAATAATTAGAAATACCAATGGCACTGAAAGCTAGCTAGTACAAACTAAAGAACTTACAGACGATCTCGGAGCTGATCTGAATCTTGTGGTGTTCCAATTTGATTAACCATCCTTCGTATGTTCTTTACTAAAGATTAAATCATAGCATTTAGTTCCAATACCAATTCTTATGGTTAATATTTGGAACTATTTTAACATAACTATTTTAACATAACTATTTCAATCATTAAGATATATGTACCAAACATTTGACACACTGTTTAGGTATTCAAGTAAATAAAACCTTTATACCCAACAATAGAAACTTTAGGATATCCCTAAATTGTGCAATACAGAACAAAACAGCAAAATACACTTGAAAATAAAAAGGGTTCAGTCACAATAATCACAGGAAACGGTTATTCCTAATAAGATAGGGTGATATAAGAGTGTCTGTGAAATATATTACTAAATAATTAATAACATTGATGTAACTTAACAAATCAGCACAACTTCTACATCTTCGGGTCAGCCACCATGTTAGCTAATGGCTCTTCTTGGCCGGAAAAATTGTCAAGAAGAGCCACAAACCAACAGGGCTGCCGACCCGACGATATAGAATTTGTGCCCACATGTTAAGTTATATAAAGGATATTAATAATCTAGTCAAATATTCAGCTTTTATATCACCCTATTTTGCAGGGAAAGATCGCTTTCTTTGTTAAATTGCAACTGCATTTGTTTTTCAAGTGTATTGGGCTGTGTTGCGCTAATTTGTGCTGTATTGTGCAATTAAGGAGCACCTGAAACTTTAATATGAGTTTTGCACCCATCTGAGTCTTTATAAAACACTTCTTATTAAAACTGCCATCCTACAATTCAGAATCTATATCCATTGCATAAATCCAGAATTTCTGAAAATATAACATGTGGGAAAAAAACTTACCATTATTTGATATTTTCTGAATATTGTTACTGATGCTCTGTGTAAGTCGCATGTAGTCATTTCCATCTGGAAGTAAAAATAATTTCACATTGAAAACTTGTGAAATGAAAACTGAAACAAATGACATTTATCACACTGTAGATCTATAGTTTTGCAAAACAAGATGATTATCTATCTTTACAAAACAAATGGAAAAAAACTTGGGAAATTGTACAACAATTAAATAGGATATAAACTGGCACCTTACAGCTATGAAAAATTAACCATGAAAGAATCAACTTACATCCACCTCCTCCCCCTCCTTGGTAGGACTCAAAGCCCCCTGTCCCTCTGCCATATGATGCAGCCATCTGGAATGCTGATTGCTTTGTATCCTTTTATCTATATTTCTTCTACCTTTAAAATACAATTTAAAGGATTAAAACAGACCATCTGTGTTTATACTATAGAAATAAAGATCCTTACAATTTATTGTAAAACATTTTTCATAATCCTGTCTCAATTAAACTATATCCCATTCCTAGCTCCCAGTACGATTATTAATAATAATACATGTACAGTAGATCTATAGAAAGCCACTTTCACTAGCTATGATGATGACATCATTTCCATTTTAATACTTCACCACATGGTCATACTAAAATAGATTAACAATAAGGGCGAGACAGTCACTGCAATTGTTTTTCTATTTCGTTAGAAATGATAACGACGTCAGTACGGTAACAGCGTACACTAATTTGACAATATAACACAGTGCGAACACCAGCAGATAGATTCTAAGGTACGTGAAGTTGAGCTTGTCATTTAATAATAATAATAATTGACCAGAGCTAGATAACGAACGAATATTTACATTTCAGTAACAAGACGTGTGCCGATTCATGCACTGATATAGAAAAACATCTGTAATCACATACCAGAAATATCAAAATCTTATGATAAAACGTTTGTTCCGCCTACCTTCAGCCTCCTGTGATCAGACCATTTCAGGAAGTGACGTCATCCTTACCTTCAAGATGAGACAAAACCAAGGCGGCTCAAAAAAAAAAAAAAAAAAAAAAATCTCGCATCAGTCTTATTAAAAAAAAAGAATTTCACCTTTTCAAATTGAAACGAATTTGAATGAATATTATAAAATTTTAATGAAAACTGCCATATTCTTAAAAATATTTTTAGTTTCTTTCNTGTTGCTAAACTGTTTGAATAATAATTAACATCAGTCATGATGAAAAGTATCTACTAAAGCCAACTGCTTCTCTTTAAAATATTTGCCAATTAATTTTTCATCATTATTTAAGGTTTGAAAAATTTACCTATCTGTTCTCCTTGCTCATTTACCATCTGAGCCAGGTCTCTGAATATTTCATTTATGTCATTTATGTCTTTCTGGTGGTAAAAAAAAACAAAACAATAAAAAAAAAAACAAACAAACAGGGATAAATAAATTAATAAATAACTAGAAAAGCACTCCGAGAGTGAAAACATAACCTCCTTGGCAGATAATATATATATTGGATAGATTAAAAAGGTTCAAAGTACTGATTAAAAAAATACCCAATATATACCTACATGTATTATAATTCTATGAAATTTTGACTTTTGTATATAAAAGTTCAATACATTTTTTTATTTGTCATGATATGTCCAGTACTAAAACAAATATATAAATATAAATAAGCATAAAATAAATATACATTAAATAGAAGTGTTAATACACCATAAAATTAAATAAAATAAACACCTCTAGCTGCTGAATTCCCTTTTCCCTCTCCTCAATAATTGCAAGATCAACACTTTCTTCTATTTCATACACTTGTTGCTGAGTTTGTTGTAGTGAACTGTCCTTAGTGCTTGGGGGACTGCTACTATAAGTAAATAATAATTTAAATTAAACTACAGCTGTAAACTATTACATTCATTTATTTTCCTTTTTTATCATCTTTGTAACTGCATGAATTTTTTCATCACTTTATAAGCATTGATAATCAATTAAGGAAATATGTCTTTAAAAATGATTGTAAATAACTTACTGTATACCTGGCACATCTGGTGCATAGCTCCATGTTATTGATGACTATTTGCACATGAACAAATGTGAAAAAAAGATAAGCAAATGAATAAACTGGCAAACCAATGATAGAAGGTGTAACATCTTTAAAAAGAAATCAACAGTACATGGATAACACGAGAACAATCAACTAGTAGTTGACTAATAACCAACTAGTAACATAATTGTCTTGGTATATAACAGGCTTAATTTATAAACGGATTAGGCGTTTACTACAGTAACACTACCCACAGATCTTTTAGCCTTAACGCCCATATTAACGATGAATTAACCAACACAGTAAATTATTTAGCACTAACAGAGTGATACCTAGCACTAACATTCAACCGCTATGGTAGTGCTGGTTAATTTGTGGGTTTGGTGGTTGTTGGTGCTAAAATATCTGCAGGTTGTGTTAGTAAACACCTAATCTGTTTATAAGGCCTGTATTAGCTATAGGCCAGACTACAAGAAATACATCAGTGATGCACTGGTATGTTAACAAGCTGGCTTAGAGTGCCATATTTTAAGACATATTTCAGATCATTCAGATCTTAATTATCATATATTAAAAAGGACTGGTTGAAAGGTAAAAAATTATTTACTGGCCCAAAGTCAGAATTTACTCTTGCTCTTGCTACACTTTCTTTCTCTTTTCCTGTGGCTTCCCTTTGTAATTTTTGAAATTCTTGCAAAACAGCTGAAAACTCCTCTTTTAATCTTCTTATGTGAATTTTCCTGTGTTGCTAAATAAGAAAGTAATAATATAATCAATGAGAATCAAGCATAGTCTCAATACAAGATAACTGATTGAATACAGGGTCAATTTCAATTCATCCTTTTTTCCTTTTATCTTAGAATGTAGTGCCATTTTACTTTGGAAAACCTTTATCTCTAATATAATTACCATATACCACAATTGTGTCTTTTTTTAAATCTATAGGGCCTATCAATTGACAACCTGTTCTTTCTGGTCACCAACTGGGAGGTCACTGATTTGTTTAAAGATCTCGTTCGTGTCTTTGGCCAGCTGGTTATTAACATTTTGAAGTCGGTGTCTGCAAATTTGAAGAAACTCTTACTTTTTTTTCAAATGAGTGCTTAATTATTATCTTTTTAAATAAATACATGATGCAAATGATAGTGAAGGTTTATTAAATAATTGATACAGATGTAACATTATTAAATTTGCTGTAATCCAGTTATTAAAAACACCGCATACAGAAAAGATTTTCCTATGGACAATAGAATGTTTTCTCCACCTTTGATATATAAAGAGATTAAACCTACAGTTTCTCCCGCATGCGCTCAGTATCAGCCTCAGTGCCCAGCTGATCAACATATTTTCTAAGCTGTGTGGCTGAAACAATACGAGTAACTATGATATTGGACAAATCAACATTGGGTCAATGAAATGATGTCACCTAATGCAATGCACTTTATACACTATCATGCAGTCATCATCTATGGCATATTCATATATATTTTCTCAATATTTGCTTTAAATGTAGCTGAATGAAAATATCAGAATTGCGTAATGCATCATAAAAGGTGATGATGGATAATATAGACTGAGTAACAGAGTAAGATAAATAAAAGAAAACAAATTTGATGATAGAGCGAGTTTCTTACTGTTGTATGAAATTTTTTGAGTATTGTTTCCAATGGACTGTGCAAGGCTGGAAAAATCATTCCTTGTCACATTTGCTGAAAAAAAAAGACACACGCACACATAACATTAATAATTAACATTATTGTTCATCCAGGGGATTTCTATTTACTAACATTTTACCTGGAATGAAACATGTACATATGTCATTGGCTGTGGGTAGACCTGTGAACCAAAATTGCCAACTTATCTGAGTCACAAATATTTTGTTCCAAAGTAAGTGATTATCATCACTAAAATGTTAGTAAATGTATCATCATGTTCAATAAATATTGGTAGGTAAAGTGTTTTTTGGAGACAATTACTTATTTCATTGACTGAATGTTATGCAGTTGAATCATAATACAAGTTAAAATCTATAGTTCTGGAATGATATGAAATTTTAAATGAATCTAAAGGATACCAAACCAAAAACAAAATTGTGCTTTTGAAATATGACATAAAGATTTTTGGTGCTCACACTGTGGTAATTTAAAGCTTGCAGAGAACCTGGCATCAATCGCCGTTGATCCATTTCCGTGAGTTGTAGAGTCCTGCTGCATGGTTTTATTTTAGTGATCCTTCCCATGCACCTCTCTTACAAACTAGGACCCATAAACTTTATCTCTAATGTAGCAGAAAGAAAGATACCTGAATTAGACTAATGACAAATTCAAAATGTCCTTTTAATTAACTAAATTCAGTTTTATCTTCTTGAGTAAATAGAAGACAATTAACAGTGGCGGATTTAGGGGGGTGTCAGGGGAGTCCCCTTTGATTTCTGAAAACACTCACAGCAATGGTCCCTCTTGAAATGAAAATTTTGACTAGCTAAATCACAGTTCTAAACCATACCAAATGGCACCATTCGTCCTCTAAAATACCAATTTTTGGGAGACCCTTCAGCGTGCCCAAAATCCCATGCCAAGAGGGGGGGGGGGGGGGGGGGGGGGA